CGAGTTAGGAAAGAAAAACGGAGGAGATATAGTGCTGTAAAGTAAACATACCTTTTCCCAGAAAACCAGTTGCACCAGTAATGAGAAATGCCTTCCCTCTCAGAAACATGGTAATGCCTATACCATCATCATGCCTTGGCTGACCATAAGGCACCAAATCCTTCACCTTAATTTCAGTATTTGGAGTCAAAACCAAACTTCCTAAAGTTTTTTCCGAGTTAACCGATGATCTCTCTGTTACAACAGAAGAAACATTGCCATTTTTTGTACCACTAGTTTGGCAATATACCTTGTTAGGAGGACACCATCTCCAATTCTTTGACAATTTCATAACAGTTTTTGATATAACAGATGAAGAACTTAGACTACTCACAGCCTCCATATTGATGCAAAGAGAAAAAAAAAGTTTTAGAGGAAAACGAAAGGAAAGATTATAGCTATGAGGTTGGCTTGCAACCTCTACTAGCTTAGCTAATCACTTGTTTCTTGTTTCTTGTTTTTTAATTATTATTTTTTTTAAAAAAGAAAAAGAAAGTGAAAAACAAGTTAACTAACAAGTGAGTTTGGTTTGATGTAAGAGGAGGGAAAGATTGAGGAAAAAGAAGGTTTGGTTGAAGAATATTTAAGGGAAGAGGAGATGAAAGTTAGGAGAATGAAAAGAAAGCACTCTTTTTGCCACCTCTCTGCCCCTTTCTTCACACTTATAACCACTAAGCTAACTTGGCGGGAGTAATTAATAATCCTCATAACTATTATTCAAACTTTCTCTTTCTCTCTCTTTCAACAAAACATATCAAGAATAAAGAGTGTGACAATCCTCCCAAGGGACAAAAATCACTTTTTTTGTCTTTTTAAAACTCAACTACCTCCCCCAACAGTCAACAGTCGACATTTTCATCTTCTATGGATTGATAGCTTTAGATTAGTTGACCCATCATTAAAGGGGTAAAATAGAATTTCATTTATATTCTTAATTAATTACTGACTCTCCTAATCCTAATTAATCAGATGTTATTAATTCTAGCGTGAGTGTGTTTTCTTTATGATTTTGTTGGTGAGAAAGACTTTATTTTCTCCTCCTTGTTAAATTACATCGAGATTTATCAATTTGTGAATAAGGATTAAGAGCATGAAAAGTTCTCTTAAAAGATGGAAGAACAAAAAATATTTTTCCAATATTAAGTTTTAAAGTGTAATTACTTCTCTTCATTCGCGCAAATTCTTCACTCTTACAAATAGTTTGTGCAAGCGTATATTGATAAAGCTTAGAGTAAAACATTTTACCGACCTAGGTAGTCAGTCCCTAACGCAAGCACGCACTCCCACAATTTTTAACTTAATAGATTCAAACATACAAATTATAGAAAGTGCACTAACTGAAATTCAAAAGTAAATAATTGATTTTTGACTTTGTAGGTGATTACACAACAACATTGTTATAAGTCACCAACTTCTTGACAAAGAATGCCACTAAAGTAAAGGCTGCATGGATATATAAAAGTAATTCATTATCAACTGTACCATTTATTGGTTATCAAAAATAAAAATACAAGCAGTGATAATTATTTTGTTTATCATGGTCCTAGATGGATCATTGTTAAAGATTAGACATTGTTCTTTCGGAAGCTGTAGGAAGTAGAATGCAGATAACCTTGATCTGCTAATGTCTAGTCATTAGACATACATCGAGCACATTTGCAATCGAAAGCAAACCCTTCAGAAAGGATGGCGCGCCGAGCATCACGATCCATGCTTGCGTCAATGTAGCATATCCTCAACTCTTCCCCTGATATAACATGAGAGTTTAAACACACTCGTCATGAGAAACTGGAAATTATATTCATGGCTATATTACCAGTAGAAGAAAATCAATCAAATTGAGAATATTGGAAAGAAATGGAGAAAATGAATAATGTTGTCAACCCCAACTAGCTTAGGATTGAAGCTTTTGTTGATATTGAAATATAGCAACATCAACCAAATCATCAGGAGCTAGTCATTCCTATATTAGCAGAAAATTACATGTTCTCTACAACACAATTGTAGGTCTAACAACTTATGCAAAATATTAAACAAGCATTGTTTTTGTAATCGACAAATCACTGAGGCCTATAGCGCACGGCTCAAATCTTAGTGAATAATGGGTTTGTCCCTCTACCCTTCTCCATTTAAATACTAGGCTGTCCACAGCTGATTTGGAACCTGTGACATGCGCCTAACGCACACTCACCCGGTGCACTCTAACACTTTACCGAAGCCCTTTGGCCATTAAGCATGCGTTGTTTTGAGGTCAAAATTGGCTGCTAATCAGATTATAATCACATGGAATCTCTATATTCAACGACAATGAACATCCAAAAATTGAACGTATAAAAAAAGCCAAGATGATTTCACAACACAAGTAAATACAACTTTCTTAAATCTTATGGAACAAATTCTCTTACACTTATGTATACCAGTGCAAAACGAACTGATCAAATAATGGAAGGAGAGTCACCTGCTTCAATATCACGAAGAGCCTTCAATTTTGAGTTCACACTTTCTATCCACAAAATGTGTGCATTGGGATCTGCAGGTGAAATATTCGGGTTAATTAAACTGGCGTCCCATTTGACACATCTATGCATTTTCAGCATTGGATCAAAATTAAGTTCTTTCTTTGTTCTTCTTTTAGGTTACTTTGTCTGCTTAAGGTTCAGTACCTCTAGGAAGTATGGATGTGCAACCACTAACAACAGTTGCAGATCAGAACTTTGAGGATCATAGCAAGAATTTATACTGGTCCAATCCATAGAAGGCCAGTTACAGAAGAAAATGATCAAAGCCAATTTACGACTAGAATATTTGACTTTTTGGGACAGTTTGTCTATACTCTATATCATCCTAGTCCTAATTGCACCAGAGTATGAGAATCGACAATGGCCAATTCTTAGTGGCAGCCCTTCAGGGAATTAGATAAAATTCATATTCGCCCATTCCACAGACAAACGAATAATCGTTGCCATAAGTTTATGGATCTTGGAAACTTCATTGAGTTAGACAACAATATCAGAAACATATGCATAGTGTAACGAATAATTGTTGCCATAAGTTTATGGATCTTGGAAACTTCATTGAGTTAGACAACAATATCAGAAACATATGCATAGTGTGAACATTAACCATGTAAATTTATTGTCTGTTGCCCAGGAATAAATCAACAGCATGCAGACAAAGGAAGGTTTCGTTTTGGTGTGTCTCTAAAAAAATACATTGTGATTAATCGTCAACTTACACAGATAGATAATGCAAGTGCTGAACATCAGAAGAATGAAAACTCTTACCACAGTCATGATTATAAAATGATGGTAGCATATAAATAGCATTTCCAACTGCAGCCTCTGCTTCTACTGATGCTGCTGCCGACAAAAGGATATCTTCATATGATCCCAAGGCCAATTCAATCCGAAAAGAATTGATACGGATACGTGCCAATACATCAATATACCATTTTTTTGACAAAACTAGCAGAAGTTAAAGAGACAAAAGCATCATTTCTCTCCCAGTATTTTGTAATTGATCGAAGTTCACTATGCTTAATAATAATTAGGCTCGACCAAAGAGACCCTAACTATTTTTCTTCATATAAACTAAAATAAACTCAATCCTATGGAGACACTAGATATGAAACTATAAGGATACATGCAATCTGCTCATCTGTGAACCCTGCATCTTCAAATGTGCTTCTCAGTAGCTGATATTCCTTCTCCATCTGATATATTTAAAAGGGTCAGAATAGGCTCCATTGATTACAGATGTCACTTGGAAGATGGAAGACACAGGAAACTATCTCACATTCACATACTAATCAGGAAGAGAATAAGGGTGGGGGGAGATGAGAAACTAGCAGAGCTTGAAAGAAGTTCTATTCCATTCCACCTTCCAGCATCAGGGAGGAAAAAGAATCAAGTGGAGGGAGAACTTTCATCTTGGACTTCCTTTTGTAAGTCATATAACATTCATGACAGAATATTTTCAAATTCTGGTCATTAGCTGTTGTTACTCATGAAAAAATAACTTCTCGAAGTACATTTAACAGAAAGTAGATTAAAATAAAGTACAGTTCAATCCGGGTTTTAAGTGCAAAGCATAAGATAGAGCTGGTTTTAATGAAGAAAGGCGCAAATGAGTCAAATTTGAATAAAAGATATCTATATATATATAATGCAAGAAAATCAACTCTAAGCTCAAACAACAATACATAGTCAAAGCATTGTTGTTAAAGGCTCACATAAAGTGCGCTGAAACTCAGTGAAGTTCAGGATGTGGTCTCACCTATCTAAATTGGTTTTTTGATTTTGAGACATATCATCCTGGAATAAGATGTTTACCATCAAAAAACTCAATCTCCTAACATGAAATGGTGAGTTTTGAAATTGACGTTGTCGTACAAAACCATAATTTCCTTTGTTGAATTGTTCAAAACCCAAATTTACAACATTAGGAGTTTGAAAGCCACTACCTTCTTCTTGTGTGTAGATACTCCAGTATAGTAAAAAACAGGGTAATACGGGAGTAGCCAATGATAAATTTGTGTTGGCCTCATATTGATTTCCCGAAAATCCCGTATTATGTTCTTCTATATGAACACCTCCCGAATTTGATGTTGGTGGTGATGGATTTTCATTTGGTGGAGTATAATGTTGTTGAAAGTTCAACCGCGTGTTCAAATGAGCAGTATTCATAGCATCTCTAGAATAAGATGCCATTTGTCTTGCATTGTCTCTCATTTGAAATAACCGAGTATTATCATTTTCTATCGCTTGATTCATTTTATACAATCTTTCATGTCCCTTTTTATTTTTATAACTGAGAAATTCGTCTGTGACCCTCCCTTTGGGACCAATCACAGCCTTCTAAACTCGGTGGATAATGGGCCCGCCCCTCTACCCTTCTCCACTTTGCATGGTGTGGGGCTTGAACTTTCGACCTAAGCCACAAATCCTCCACCTTTTGCCACTTGAGCTAGGCCTTGGGGGCCTTTCATGTCCCATTACCTAAAATTCATTAAATATATATATAAGGTCAAACGAAGAAGTCAATGATATTTATGTATTTTTTAAAAAATTACATACCAATGCCTCATATCTTCCTGCGATTGGTTGATATCCATGTTGGACAACATGTTCTGGATTTGCATGAATGTCGTCGATACCAATTCAAATAACCAATGTGGTTTGCTTGATGATTTATTTGTACAACATGTTGATAACGTTCACTCCATGTATTTTCAGTATCAACAAACATCTGACGAGTATGCCTATCTATTTTGTGGCGCTTATCGATTTTATAATGCTCATCAGAATAATGCACATTTTGTGGTATATGTTGCACAAAACCAAATTGTCTTACTACACGATCAACCATGTGCCACTCACAATATATTCCGAAAATAAATGGCACTTTCACCATCTACACATTCTGCCCTCGTCGACACCATTCAGGCAGTGCATTAAGAACTTCTTGAGAATAAGACTCCCAAATAAACTATAGGAAAAAAAAAATTAACATATATATCATACATTTTTTTTTACCATTTTAAATCTTGTGATAAACTAAATTTTTTAATTATACCTGATAAGTTTGTAGATTGTCTAAAACATCTCTATAAAATATCATAATTTTTCGAGCCTCATGAACCCTTCGTCGAGACCATATATGCAAGTGATTTTTGACCCTCTGGTTGATCATTGTTGAAAGGCGATAGTATAGGCTGAAATGGTATAATACGCTCCCACACCCATACCTATAAAACAATAAATAATTCTGGGAAAATGCATAAGTACCACCCCAACCTATGCCCGAAATCCCAGAGACACACTTATACTATACTAAGGTCCGATTACCCCCCCCCCGAACTTATTTTATAAATATTTTTCTACCCATTTTCGGCCTACATGGCACTATCAACCAGATAGCTTGAAAATATTGTCAACACATGCTGGCCCGGAAGATAGTGCCACGTAGGCCGAAAAGGGGTAGAAAATTATTTATAAAATAAGTTCGGGGGGGGGTAATCGGACCTTAGTATAGTATAAGTGTGTCTCTGAAATTTTGGGCATAGGTTGGGGGGTGGGGGGGTACTTATGCATTTTCCCAATAATATTTATTATTAGTATTAAAAATAGTAAATTATAATAATTACAAATATAAAAGTGACCAACATGCAATAATGATATGAAACCATTTACAACAGAAACGTCGCATATAGAGGCGCGACATAATGAATGATACAAGTATGAAAGTGTGGCAACTCCCCAGCTTGTGTTGCCAGTCACCCATTTCAATGAAAAAATCTGAATTAAATTTATTTCCTGTCAGGAAATAATGTTCCTCCAAGCAACCAAAATAAGTATAATCCAAATTTTTGTTATACCTCTAGTTCAGTGGAATTATCGTTTATTACATTTGAAGTTTCTATATAATTAACTAATGACGCTGAAAATATTCTAAAACCTTGAAATCAATCTTCCGTAGGAAACCAACCGGTTAAATTATAAATTAAAGTTTGTCTAGTAAACAAACCCATGGATTTAGCGTTTGTTAGTAGAACAAGTGTACCATCAACAACCATACCGAACATAACTTCCATATCCTGCATAGTTATTGTTGTTTCACCAGTTCTCATATGAAAGATATGAGTCTCTGGATGACACCTTTCAACCAAAGCAGTAATAACGCTTGCATTGTACGGAATGTTTCCTACTTCAAGAACACCTCTAAAACCAGTGTAACCAAAATAATTTAGTATACGTGTATGAAGTGGATTATTTTGTAAGTGTTGCCATAATTCATAATCATGTATCCGCACTGTTAAACGTGTTTCCATCGCAATTATTTCACCATTCCAAATTTTTTGAGACCGATGTTTATCTTGTAACATTAAAACATCATACTCAATTGGTCATTGATATGCAAAATTTTCTTGATTCATCTATATATCAAAATGAAAAAAAAACTACATCATTATCAGTACTATAACTTAAGATGAAATAATTAATAAAACATATAAATGATAAAAAGTTATCATTAAATTACTGTATATTGTCTTGATTCTTCAAAAGTTTGAAAAATTTGATAACTTTAACAACTTTGGTAGCTTTATTTGAGAATAAGAAATCGGATGAAATTATGATAACTTCGAACTGATGTATAAATAAGAGTAGGAAGTGTAACACTTGTCAAATGCATGCATGCTGACACGCCAACATTATATATATATAATTATTTTTATTCACTTTATCTAAAAGAAATTACGAAGAAAAGATTTTTTTCACTTTATCAATTAATTTTTGACTATTAATTGAATTATTTTATTTTTATTTTCGTTGAAACATATACCGCGTGAAACTTTTACAGTGTGAATTTGATTCAACACTGTAAAAATATATCACGCAAAACTACAGTGTTGATTTGATTCAACACTGAAAGTTTCACGTGAAACTTTTGCAGAATAAGCAACAAGGCTTACAAGGCGCAGGGCCAGGAGCCTTGTTATTTATTTTTTTTTCAAATTTTCTTAGTTTTTCATTTTTATTACAAACAAATAAAATTTTAAAAAATTATATAAATAAAAATGAAAAACTAAGAAAATTTGAAAAAATAAATAAATAAATAAAAATAATAATAATTAAAAGTAAAAAGGCTCCTGGGCCGTGCGCCTTGTAAGCCTTGTTGTTCATTCTGCAAAAGTTTCACGTGAAACTTTTCGTGTTGAATCAAATCAACACGGTAAAAGTTTCACACGGTATATGTTTCAACGAAAATAAAAATAAAATAATTCAATTAATAGTCAAAAATTAATTGATAAAGTGATAAAAAAATTTTTAGATAAAGTGAATAAAAATGATTAAAAATATATATATATGGTGTTAAAAAATGAATGCAATATATATATATAATGTTGGCGTGTCAGCGTGCATGCTTATGTCAAGGCATGCATTTGACAAGTGTTACACTTCCTACTCCTATTTATACATCAGTTCGAAGTTATCATAATTTCATCCGATTTCTTATTCTCAAACAAAGCTATCAAAGTTGTTAAAGTGATCAAATTTTTCAAAATTTTGAAGAATCAAGACAATGTACGGTAATTTAATGATAACTTTTTATCATTTATATGTTTTATTAATTATTTCATCTTAAGTTATAGTACTGATAATGATGTATTTATTTTTTATTTATTTTTTAGATTGGTAATTGTTTCTATTTCTTTAAATCAGTACATGGGTTGTACTGAAACCATATTTACATAATGAACTCTAAAGGCACTGTCCTATCCCTATAATGAGTCTAAAACATCATTGATAGAGACAGTGTCATTAGAGTAGATCTGATTACACCAAAAACACAAAGTTAGAATACAATTCAATTTTACTTGCTGCATATTACTCTCCCTATTCTCAAAAACTCTAAGATTTCTCTCTTTCCAGACAGTCCACCAAATAGTAGCAGGAATGATTCTCCAGTTGCTTCTGTTCTTTGCTTGTAATCCTGCTTCTTCCCAACTGTATAAGGCCTCTGCAATTCTACCAGGCATGACCCATGAGATGTTTTTGCGCCTTAGGAATAGACTCCACAATTGGCCAGTGACCTTGCACTGGATGAACAAGTGATTGACTGTTTCTGCAGTTTCCCCACAAAAAAAACATCTTGAACACAGTGTAATCCCCCTCTTCATCAAATTCTCCTGTGTCAACACCACTTCCTTAGCCAGTAACCACACAAAACAGGCCACTTTGTGTGGGATCTTGGCCTTCCAAATGTGTTTCCAGGGCCATTTGGATGCCTGCATAATTGGGTGGTTCAACTTCCTATATGCTGCACTTACTTTAAAAG